TATATATATATATATATATATATATAATAATGTGCTAACTATTTAAGCATCTGTTACTTAAATAAATTTTAAATTAATAATAGCTGTGGATGCTTTTGGTTCATCCTTTTAAGTTTTTTTATGTTCATATGCAAACATTACTTTGCTATTTTCAGCGACTAAGAGTATGAAACATCTGTAACAAACTGTATAAGGTGGAATTACACTTGGAAAGGCACACCAGATGATGAACCAGAATGAATCTTTTTTTTTTAAATACATAACTAAAACATTTAGCTAAGTGCAAGTTTTATACACAGTACATGTAAGCAATAAAAATACCTACGAATGAGCCAGAAGATCAAAGCCATCTCTCTCTCTCTGTACTTGGTAAAACAATATAAATGTAACTATTTGTAACCATAATACCTCATAATGAAAGTTTAAAGAAATTGAAACCAACATCACGTATCACCTTATCACTAAAAAGCGATTCCACAAGTTTAACTGGGAAGCATCTTTACCAAATTAACCCTGGACTTCCAAAGCTTATTCTTACTGCCGTCGATACTCAAGTTTTCGTTCCCCAAAAATATCATCCCCTTAGTTGAAGACCTCCTATACAGATGGTTCATCTAAGCCCTTACCAATGTTAAACACCCGAAATAACTTGCTTCTGGTATGTCTCCATACTCAACTTTCTTAAAGTGTTTACCATTTAGTAGCTTATTCCTGTAATTTATCCTACATTTTAGCAAACTTCCTGTAGTCGTGGGCCAAAATATCACATAATGAGGCAAAAGTCTTATTCAAAATAGCAGTAATCTTATTCCGAATTTAAATATAAATTCCAGAATTATATTACCTTTTCCACAAGTTAACATTCATCTTACAAAAAATGATGTTTTGTTCCCTACTTCCCTACTCTTAAAATTATTTGTTACACTTTTTATTGTTAAAATTTTCCATGTTTGTGTCCACCACTTTGCTTCTGTTATTGGTGCCAGAATTCTCCATTTATTATCCTATCATAGCTAATGGGACAAATGTCATTATTATTTTCCTCCATTATAGACCAAAAATATTCAAAGATCATAAATAGTTGGATCATAAATGGTAATGAAAATTGTTAACAATATAAGCAAATAATTACATGCTTAAAAATACAGTGGATTGATGTATTAGTTCTGTAGAAATAATTTTTTTGGTTCAATATGAATAACTAAGCCATCAAATCAACATAGTTGTCCCTCCTGTATCCTGGGTAAATGCCCAGTGTGGTAGATAATCATTTAACTGTATATTATATACATGTTTAGTCCCTCCTGTATCCTGGGTAAATGCCCAGTGTGATAGATAACCATTTAACTGTATATTGTATATATGTTTAGTCCCTCCTGTATCCTGGGTAAATGCCCAGTGTGATAGATAACCATTTAACTGTATATTGTATATATGTTTAGTCCCTCCTGTATCCTGGGTAAATGCCCAGTGTGATAGATAACCATTTAACTGTATATTGTATATATGTTTAGTCCCTCCTGTATCCTGGATAAATGCCCAGTGTGATAGATAACCATTTAACTGTATATTATATATATATGTTTAACAGCACCAAAACTCTTAATCTCAAGCCTTAAATTTTAAAAAACACCTAATTTTTAAAACTGAAATCTATAGGCTCACTGATGTCCATTTTAAGTATTGAGAAGGAAAAAAAGTGTGTGTGTGTGTGTGTGTGTGTGTGTGTGTGTGTGAAGTTAGGGACAATATAAGATCTTTAGAAAGTGCTAGTAGAAACATCATTATGAAAGAATAGCTTATGCTGGAAATTGTAAAACAATTTTCACAAACATTTCGTCAACAAGCATAAGTTGTTTTTCTTTGTAATTTAGTGATGAAAAGTAGTCTTGGATTTTGAAGAAGTGAAGATGAATGCCCTTTTAAAATCTTAAATAATTAAGCTCCTGAAAAAGTCTCCCGTTGTCTCTCAGTTCATGGAATCTCACGTTGCATGGACTGTGAAAGACGGGCAACAGGCAGAAACAATACATTCTTTAGTTGGAAGTAAGACAACTCAATTCCTTGCTAACACTGAACTACAAGCTGTGTTGATATCATGGGCATTACTTAGTCACATTGTCTTGTGTGATTAGACATCCAAGTCTCATGGACAGTGGTAGCCAACTGTATCATGCTACCCTTTACACTTAGTGGTGGTAACCTTTGAAGTTACTAGATATAATGATTACCATACTAATATTTCACTCTTGGAGGAGGCATTGTGATGTCACATCAAAATAAATAATAACAATACAGTGTTTTGCCGTACATAATTAAAATATGCTTACTGAAGCCACTTAAAAACTACATTTTACAACTCATCTACACATTATCTTAAGCAGTTTATCGATATTCTTAACTTACTGGCTAACATTTAAAGCAGGTTCATGACATATACTATTCCTGAAGATTCTCGATGGGCTGGAATTAGTTCTCTCATAAAATAGTGTGTCATGTTATTTGTACATGTTTTGTAACCTGTATTTCAAGTGCAGTCTTCTTTCATCAATATAAATACTACCACATTCACATTCTACTTTATAAATCCTACTTTCATCTTTGAACTTTATTTTACTTTTTGGTATTCACAAACATTTGTTTAATTTTATTGATAGGTCTAAAGATAGAATAAAAAAATAAGTTGTTTCTTACTTGTTAATTCTGGACTTTAGTTTTGTCAATTAGATTTTAAGGTAGGATATTTAACTGACATTGAACCATTATTAAATTTATTAAAGGCTTGCACTTTAGTCTGGTAATTTACTCCTGAAGATGTTGAAACAGTGTTTAAGTTGAAGCTGTCAACAGCTTCAATATCTTTTAATTGTGTACTGTGTTTTAAGCAAGCGAACACAATGTTAGATGGTAAAAATGAAGGTCGAGAAATAGCTATTAGTGTCAGCAGAGGTATGTATGTTTTGGAATTCAGCATTACAGGCATGTTGGCAAGCTACCAGAACAAGCCATTGAATTAAAAGAAAATGAACATTTTTCAAAGTTGATCCAACTTGGCTTTAACATTCTTATTACCCCATTTGGCTGTGATGCAATCATTGGTACAAATACGATATGCACTAGAGATTGTCTCTCACCCAGTTGATGATTTTATTTATCTTCAGTGTATTACTCCTCATTTACTTTATACTCGGCCTCTAAAATCAAATCAAGTAAAAGTAGTAAAGAAAAACTATTCTTGAGAATCAAACTTGAGTAGTGACACTATATACTTTAATAGTTGAGGTTACTAGCATAAGCATTATTTAGAGAAATTAAGAAAATCTTATTGTTCAAATTAATACCTGACAGGGTGTGGGAGAAAAAAGTTAAATACAAACAACTTGAACAAAATATTGCAGTGAAAGTTGCTAAAATTTACTACATACAATTAAAATGAAAAATATTTATTTCTACTTTTTTTTTCATACATTGAACAGCATCTTCGTAAAATGCAAAAGCAAGCACTGTTACAAATTCCAAGAGCGTACAAAAAGCACAGTTATTTTCAAAGCATCAGGTGAAGTTAGGTTTGTTGAAGCCATTATGAAAAGCAACTATGCCTAAGTTCTAAACTTTTATAGACTGGTGTAGTGCTATCACGTGATGCCTCGGGAATCTTTTAAAAACTTATCTATGACAAAATTACAAACAAATATCTTTAAAATTAAGCACCAAGTTAAACATTCATAATCAATTTGTTTGATATTGTGTATGTTAAGATATGCTGTTTATAGTTATGAAAAAACAATGTTAAACAGTCACTATTTCAAAGGATTCTAATGTTCTAGAAACAAACTTGAAAATTAACACAGATTAAACAAAAGACAACAGTCAAGTGATTGGAAATTTTCCTTAATTATCCACTTGCGTAAGAGCAGAAAAATTAGTGCATAGCAATAACAAATTATCAACCTTTTTCCCTCATTTTCCAGTTTTCCGTAGAGTTATTTAGTAATTATCCATATTGCTCGTGAGTACTGACCAGATAATTGGCACATTTACCTTAATAAACACAGTCTCACAAAATTACAAGTTACAACATTTGAGACTTTAATTTAGCCAAAATACTAATGCTAAAGATATATATTACTATGTACATAACTAAACTTCAGACCTACATTAAGCTGAGCAAAGCATATTTGACACAAAATCAACATATTTTGGTCAAGTGTGGTAGAAATATAGATAATGGACTTCCTTTGCTTTCTGGAATATTTTTACCATAAATCACAGGAAACGTTAATTACAAGAGCTGATTGTGTGTGTGTTTAAGATATGTAGAACATAGTCTTAAGAGCTACAAGTTTATAAATAGATACTGATGTGTGACTTTGACCAAAACCAACAATTGCTCTTTTCTTTCAGTTGATTGAAGGAAATAGAAAATACTTTTAAGTCTTTTTTTTGTTGTTGTTTAAAAAGAAAAAAATCTTATTACGAAAATAAGTACTTACTACAATTATAAAACTTGTGCAGTTACAAAAAATTTAAACTTAAACTGTAACAAATAAAATTGTTATATTAAATATCATGTGTTACGTAAAACATTTGAAATACTTTTAAGGAATATACATCATTTAATATTAAGTAACCTGATAATGATATACCAAAGCTAAAGCTGCAAAATTCTTAGCTGTATATGGAGGAATAAAGTGGCTGGGATGTATTGCTGGATTTATTCCAAGAGGTTCAAACTGCCACTTCCTGGTTCATCGTTACTTGCTTCACATCACAAGTGTTACCATTCGTGTAGCCTGAAGCATTGCTGTTCTCATTTGGTTCCTTCTTGTCATTATTGATAAATCCATCTTCATAGCTTCCTTTCGATTTGAAATACTGCTTGAAGTGTGGAGTGCAGTAAAACTTACGGCTGTTGATAGTGTAATTATCTAACCTGAGAAACGAGAGGAGGGTTTTAGATAACACGGTACAATGTATAACAGTAAGGTAGAAATCAGCATATTGTAAACTATTTCCATACTGGATATTGTTTCTTGTTGTTTTTCAGTGGAAATACTTAACCAAGTTGCATGAAACTTAGCACAAAGTTACTAAATAATATCTAACGCGGTACAATGTATAACAGTAAGGTAGAAATCAGCATATTGTAAATTATTTCCATACTGGATATTCGTTTCTTGTTGTTTTTCAGTGGAAATACTTAACCAAGTTGCATGAAACTTAGCACAAAGTTACTAAATAATATCTAACACGGTCCAATG